GTAAAAAAACTCGTGCCTATCTTTTGTGTAATTTGCCTCCCTTTTGTATCACCTTGCATTTTCATAAAAAAAAAAATTAATGAACAAGCGAAAGTATAAATAACAAATATACAAAGAAGCAAAGATGAGATCAATACAGACAAAAAGTAATCATTGGCTCTAGACGCTCTGGTCAAATTGGTCTTTGAGCATCATGAGTCGACGGTGAACCTTATCTTCTACCATACTATTAGTAGATTTGGAACCAGAGAATGAGAGAAAAGGGAGTCATATTTAGGTTGTGACTGGAAAGAGGGAGAAGAAAAGGGAAGAAAATAAAAGAGAAGAAAACAAAAGAAAAGAAATGTTGAAAGTTAGAAGAATGTTTTCTACCGTGTATTTATGAGAAGAAATTTTCAGTTGGTTTTACTAAAAAGTAGAGGAATTGAGAAGAAAAAGTTTAATTTTGATGGAGAATGAATTATTCTTGACTGGAGAAATGATAGAGGAATTGAGAATATTTAGTTTTCTTCCCAATTATTTTCTTCTATTTACATCAACCAGTCTGACCCTATGTTTAGTTTAGAGGAGACTGAACAGTTGTAGAAAAAAATGAGAAAGATTTACATTTAACCAAAAAATATGAAGAACGTGACGAAGAGGGAGATATTTTAGGGATTCTAGTTATTATATCAATAACAACCAATACTATCTATTCCATATCCCATTTATTTATTTGATAATCGTTTTACTTATATGTACTATTTTAAATTTACAACCAATACAAATGTAAAAGGCATAAATTCAATATAAATAAAATAAATTGTAGGATTTTAGTTGTTTAAAAAACAATTGTAGGATTTCTGCATATTCTACTATATATATATTATATAATCCTACAATTTATTTTAGTTATCTATCTAACATCAATTTTTTTACTGAAACTAAGAAATCACACAATTACGGTCAAATTCTTATCATTCAAAATAATTACTGTCAGGTATTATTCTTTTAATAAAATAGAAAGCATTGTAATCAATTCTAATTAATTAGTTTCAGTTATTATTGGATGCAAACTATTAAAAACAATTTGATCGTTTATTTTAATGACAATATTTTTATATCATTTTATAAGTGATGTTAACAACAATTAATAATTACATCAATTACCTATTCGATGTAAATCTAGGTTTTACTATCAATTTTTTTAAAGTGATACAAACTAATAAAAACTGTATCAGTTTTATTGAATTGATGCAAAACTAATTAATTATAACATCAATAATTATAATTGATGCTAAACCATCTATATTTGTTTCACTTTTAAATAACTGATTTAAAATAATATCATTTAGTTTTGTGATACAATTTAAATGATACAACAGATCCTTTTTCTTGTAGTGCGTTCAGATGTGCAAAAGGCATTTATTGAAATTGCTATTATATATATAATTTTTATGTTAGACCTTTAGTTATAAATCTTATAGTATACGTTTGCATGAATAAACAAACATCATAAATACACATGATTTGAAACGATATTGGGATATATTTGTATTATAATATGTATCTTTAATAATAAAATGGAAGTTTGAACGATATATTTAATTTATTTTTATTCATGGAATTTATTATTCGGTGGAAAAATACACATACATATACAGCCATGTTTAAAAAATCGCTAGGCGCTAGTCAGGCGGTGAGGGTGGGCCTAGCGCCAAGCAAGAAAATCGGAGATTAAATGGGGATTAATCGGAGACTAGTTTTAAGGCTATTTAATATTTTAAAAACATATTAATCCATAATAAAAAAGAAATTTATATAATCTTGTTTTTAAAATTGCATTAACACATGAAAACAAGAATTTAAGGTCAAACTTATGATTTTTATATAAATTATAAACATAAGTGGGACGTTTTTAATTTTAGATCCAAAAAAAAAAAAAACAAATTGGGCTAGGCGCCGTCTAGGCGGACAAAAATCGGATCACCGATTTTTTTTGCCGATTTGGACAAAATCTCGGCGGTTCCCACCCGATCAGCGCCTAGGCGGCCGATTATTAGAACAGGGATATAAAATAAGGTTTGCCGTCTATGAGTTTGAGTAGTCAGAGGCGGAGGCAGTGCACAGTCATAAGGGTCAATTGACCCTGATGGAATTAAAAAAATTAGCTGAAACTTTATTAAATATATTAAATTGACCTCAATCCCATAAGACTTTTGACCCCTGTAAAATTTTATGTTACAAGATTAAAATATTTATGCCCAATAATTATATTATACTTATAAATAATATTAAGCCCAATAAAATTTATTTAAGTAAATATACTATAATTAAGCCCATTAATATAAACTAATCTTATATTTTAACATTTGTTTGTAGTCTAAAAACGTTTTAGCTTATTCTTCCTTATTTTTTTTCAATCTTAGATGGTGATATATTAGAAAATCTCTGACTTAATTAAAAACAAATCCAGCTAATGATCTAATCTAATATTATATTTAATTATAAAAACATCCGCAAAATCTAATTTTTTTTCTCTATTTGTTAATCGTTGAGGAGCGCAACTAAAAAACTATTAAATATCAATTTTGGTTGATTTTTTGATAAATTATTCATTATTTTTTTATATATGTCAATTATTTTTAGATAAATCTAAAATATCTTTTTTATATAATATATATTATTTTATATTAAAAAAAATTTTGACCCCTATAACAAAAATTCCTAGCTCCGCCACTGTAAGTAGTAATAGAAACAAAAAAGTAAATATTTGGGCCAAACGCAAAAATTGAAATAAAATCGACAAGACCCTTGGATGACTACAAATTTAGCTAGAGAATTAATGTAATTTTTTGTTAACTATAAAATTTAAAACTAATATTTATTTTATTATATAGATTCAAGAAAATATAAAATTTGATGACATAAATTACATCTAGAACAAACAAATAAACATTTACAAGATCTCATAAATTTATATTTATATTGATGAATTAATTGAGTAAAAAAATTTCTTCCTTTAATATTCCTGTGATGAACTATAATCATTGCTTTTTTCCTAATAACGGAGATTTTTTCTGGATTATTATACCATTTGAAACGGTTCATTTGACGTTTTCCACATTTAAAGCGACCAACACATATGAAAAATATAGTAGATAGCCATATTGCTCGAGGATGTCTTCTCATATTTGGACTTTGTAATAATGTTAACGCAGCATCAATATTTTATTGTATACAACCCATATATATTGTCTTAAGGTAGAAAGCACCATTGTTACCATATATAATTGTTAAATCAAAAAATTCACTGTATAATCTCTCCAATTCTGAGAAAAAAATTGTTGGCATCTTCACTAAATTTTTATATTTAAAATTGATTAAAACTTTTCCATTTTCAAGATCATTCCAAAAATCTTTGGTTAAATAAAGAATTAGAAGTTTTTCTTCAATATTAAAAAAGTGTATGTTTAGAAATAATTTAGACAGTAAAGAATTTGATTCCATTTGTTTTGAATTCATCGTAAAACAAATAATCGTTATAGGAGGACAAAAAATTGGAATTTCGAAAAGAAAGACAATATATAGAGTTGAATGTTGAGTATGTTTCTTCAAATTGTTTTGGGCCTTATGTTTTCGAAATGGACTCTATAATCCACGTTGGTTTTGTGATAATTAAGCTTTGATAAAATCTCTTTCTTCACAAAAAGGAAAAAGTCAAAATCGTGACTGCAACTTTTTCTCACCGACTTTGCAACGTTGAGGAAGAAGTGGCATTATGAGAGTAAGATTTGGGGGCTGAAATCTCTCGTGAATAGTTGAGATTTGTGCCTATATAAGAAGGACTTTGGTCTTTGATCAGATGATGAAAAACTCACTCTCTTCTTCCATCTTCTTCTTCTTCCTTTTTATTTCAATTTCTGGGTTTGAGAAGTTCATCTCTTTTGAGTTAAGTGCACAATTCAATTGAGAGCAGAGTGAACCCTGGAGTGAGCCGTCTTGGTTATCTTGCACCCGGGATTAGGCGGTTTTTCGCTCAAGTGCAGTAGATTCTCTACGGCTCTGCAACTTTTGTTCTTCCTCAATTCTGGTTTCTAAGTCTTATTTCCAACATTGAAAAGGCACGATTTTACAATTATTCGATAAGTCCATTACGTAGACGAACGTGTCCGGTACAGCTTTAATGTGTGGGGCTCATTTCACTCACGTATGTCCAAATTATTTAAACTTCTATATTATTGTTTTCCCATGATATCACGTAAATGTTAAATGAATGATATAATTAAGGAGGTTATACTACTAAATATATTAAGGAGGTTATACTACTAAATATATCCATATGTAAACTATGAAATAAAACCATTTATGTAGTTTATTGGTTTACGGAAAAAGAAATTCAATAAAACAACATGACCGTACAAAAATAACTGTAAGAAAAACAACCAAAAATATTTAAACGAAATGTTGCAATAAAAAGACGCAACCGTTCAGATGTGCAAATGGTATTTATTGGAAACGACATAACCGTAAAAAAATAACCGATTAAAACGAAAATTGCGAAAAAAAGACGCAACCAAAATACCCGTAAAAAAATAACCGATTTAAACGAAAGGTTGCGATAAAAAGACGCAACCTTTCAGATGTGCAAATGGTATTTATTAGATTGCTATTATATATAGATTTGTTTCTCTCTCTAGCTCTCTTGATTCTTCCTACAAAATTATCACTTGTAGCTCCTAAATAATCTAGTGGGTTGCTTGCTGAAAATACAGCCACGAGATGCTCCAGATCATCAAAGATTTCCGAGGAACTCGTAGAACTCGCGAATGTCTTGTTTCTCTGTTTGTTCTTTCTCTTGAAGTGATCGTGAAGTGTCTCAAGTGGTAATTAGGCAACGCATATTTGAAGTGGTATTAAGCGTTAGTCATTGCGATGTCAATCATGTAATATAGCCAATGTTTTAGTTTAAATCAGAGATCGCAATTGAAAAGAGAAATAAGATTTTGAAATTTATCGAAATGCAATTTAACAGGAGAGAAGTTGGAGATTGAAAGGTTCAACTTGAAGAACAAGATCCATATCTTTATATGTTACAGACTTTGCCAAATTGAAACAAAGATTTGTTTATTTATTTATTAAGGCCGGTTAGGTTTACAACTATTATTACATGAAGGAGCTCTCCCTGAATTACTGCCTGCTGCACCAATCTTGATCTCGGTAAAGAGTGTTTGATCCCAAACTTCTTTTCCTATTTCCTTCCCTAAAAAGAAAACAACTATTAGCTAATCAATTTTGAAAAAGAGAAATAAAACTACTATTAAATAGTGAAACATAGAACCAAAACCAAAAGATCAACGTATGAACAAAAACCAAATTGTATCGAACATATCTAAAATTGCTTAAAAAGAAGAAAAAAAAAACACTTACTTTGGCTTGGAGATTCATATCGTACTCGGGCTAATACCGTATTTGATAATCCAGAGAACAAAAGAAAACTCAAAATCAGTATACGAACCGTGAGTTTGTACATATTTTTGGTTGATATAAACGTATCAATTTCAAGATGTGAATCCATGCATCTATATATAGATAAATGAACTCACGTTACGTGTTCATTTTTCTGTTTTGGTCAAACACATGTTCATTTCTTTGTTCCACACAAATATATAGAATCATTAAAATTAAGTTGGACCAATTCAGAAAAGACTATACTTTTTTTATTACATATATATATATGTTAGGTCGAAGACCTAATATTTGTTTCTCTCAACAAGTTTCGGTTTTCATATATGTGTATAATAAAAAAGCGTAATTGACTTTCAAATGTATAAAGTCTTCTGAATTGTCCTACTTAATTTTAGTTATTCTATGTATTGTGGAGATCAAAGTAGATTTTCTAAATTTAAGTAAACATAATTTAAAAGCAAAAGCTTTTGTTATTGGATAACTCGATCGGTTTCAAGTAGCAATGGAAAAAATATATAAGATCCCACTTGAATATAAATGTGTAAAATATCTAAGATCCCGTGTCAACACAAATTATTTTGTTTGTAACAAGACTTGAATTATTTACATGTGAGACCAAATTGTTATAAGACTTGTATAAATACATGTGAAACCAATTTTCTTTTTGCTCTTTGAGTTATTTACATGTGAGCCCAAATTTACTTTTTTATTAAAGAAAACTTGATCATTAGTATTTCGCTGTAGGAAACTTGATCATTACATAAATAAGAACTCTCAAAATACTGTACAATGGACAAACACGTATAAACAACGTTTTGGAAACTTGACCGGCCAGTTAGCCGAAAATCGTCCATCTATCCGAATTCGGGTTGAATCGAAACTGGATTTGAGTTGAACCGCTAAAACCAACCGAAAACCGTCAAACCTTGTGATACAGTATGATATAAAAACCTAGTTCAGAATATTTAAACCACAAATTTGATTAATGCGGATTTTTCAATCAAAATTAAAATTTCAATTAAAATTATTTTTCTTGTTTTTTTCTAATTTTCTTTAGAAACTATTCTCTACTGTTCAATTTTGATCGACAAACAAAATTTTTTACAGTATGGGTTAAAAAATATTTATATACATTTTTCATAGTGTTTTTTTTTTCTCTTTTATGATCAATATTTTTGTTCAACAAATTTGACATATTTAGGATTTTTCATGTTGTGTTTTAGAGAGTAAGTTTTATTCCATCTTTTACGATTCATTTTCTTATGGACTTGGAATCAATATATATACTTTGTAAAAAAAAGTTTCAATTTTATGTTGTCTCTTCCTTTAAATCAGAGATCATAATCGAAGAAAGAAATAAGATTCTGATATTGATCGGAATGCAATCTACCAGGAGAGAAGTTGGAGGTCGAAAGGTTCAACTTGAAGCTCAAGATCCATATCTCAATATGTTGGAGACTTTGAAAATAATACAGTTTTAGTCCTATCTTTGCCAAATCTGATCTACTTGAAAAAAGATTAGTTTTTCTACTTGAAAAATTCGACAACAATACATATTCTGGTTAGTCGAATTGATAAATTGTGGAATCGATGGTTTCACGGTACCCCTAAGAAGAGTAGAAAGCATAATACCAAAGCATACAGGCTGTCTAAATCATGACAAATACAATGTGACAAAACATAAACAAACCGTCTGAAACTTTAAAACAGAGTAGCGAGATCATCTATAGAGACCAAACAACAGAGAGACCAATGACTAGTGTTACTCAACATAAGAAACCTTGGCCACTGTACTCTTACCTTATTCAAAACTCACACTGAACCAGACACAGACGCAAACACAAACAACACCAAGTAAAAGAGACGCTGCATCACTCTTCCTCGGACTCAGACTCGGCGTTCTGGAGCCACTCAATGAACGGAGTAACATTCTTCAACACAGGGGAGCTTTTAATGCCTTTATTGTACCATTCAACAATCACATCCTCTTCCAAAAGGTCTTCATCATAAAGACCTTTGATAACAAGAGCAACTTCTTTGGCAGCCTCTGCGCTTGCCTTCGTGCAGAAGGATTCTATTCCGTTAAGTAAAACCATCTGCTGAGGAGATCCAGCTTCTTCGTGCATCATCATCAAGGCCACGAGATATTTCTTCTTCTTGATCACTTCTTTGGCGAATCCCTTGCCTGCACCTCCAAAGAGGGCAGAGAATAGGGCTTCCATTTTCTCCTGGGGGGTTGCGGAGTTTGAAGCTAGGGCTGTTTTGAGTTGGGTAGGAGATGAACCATTGCTCAGAAGCTCCTTTATCTCATTGACCAGCTTTTCATGAGCATTTTCAGGGATCTTGCTATTGCCATTCTCATGCACTGCTTCTGGTGCCTTCTTCACCTGAACTGCTGGCTTTTTTTCTTCAATTGTAGACAGCATCACCATATCAGCTGTTACAGCGCTCAGCTGTTCTTTCATACGTTTCTCAGCAGCCTCCCTGGAAGTATCTGTTTGCCACTGGACATCGTCATCATCTTCTTCACTGTCTGCTTGCTCATTTTCATCAGACTGGCTTCGAGGTGGGGAATGATCTTTCTTCTTCGAAACTTTGTCTTTCGAAGTACCCGTGGTCGCTGCTTTCTTCTTGCTAGCAGCCTCCTTCTTGAGTTTCCTCATCTCCTCATCAGCTGCTTCACCTTCTTTGAGCCTTTCCTTCTCAGCTCTCCTCATCGACTTCTTGTCCTTAGACGACTTCTTTTGCTCTGGAGGATTCTTCAGAATGAACGACGTGAGCTTGTCCCTCATATCGACATCTGAGATAAACCCGCAAGCCGCACATTTCAGCTGAAGCATCTGCGTCTTAGTGATGAGTATTTCAGTTTCAGGATTCCCACATCCATAACACTGAACATACTTTTTGATAAAGTTCTCCAGCAATCCCGCAAGCTTGGAAGTGTCATGAGACCCATTCACCAGCGAGGTTCCAGTCTTCTCATCAAACTTAGACTGCGCACCAAGCTCACAACCAAAATACTTGGTAGTATAAGCAGCAGGTCTCCCCAAGGCCTTAGCGATCTCAACCATATTGACCACATTAGTCTTGATACCGTTACCTCTACCTTCAATCTTGGTCATCATCCTCGGCATCTTGTACCTATAAAAGGCATCATCGCGGTTGGAAGCACCAATGTTTTGCAACGCCATTTTCGATTTGACAAACAAGCAAGCACGTAAATAGACGAGGGATGTCAGAAGAGACAGTGATAATCACTCGGTTGCATAAACTGAAAACCAGAAAAGCTCGTGCTGTTGCGATTGAAGGCTTCAAAAGATCCAAGACGCAAACCACCAACTTTATGAGTGGACTTTTTCCTAGATATAGGACAGTACTCCCCTAAAAGCCGGATAGATGATTGAAAGAGAGAAGCCTGTTCAGACATAAAAGATTCTTCACACTCCACTTTTGACAAACTGATGATCCCAGCAGCTTAAACTGCCCAACTTCCTACAAAAACATAGACACATAAACATTAAAGAGACATATTCAAAGTTATTGTTCCTTTCTCTGCTTAAGCAAAACAAAGACTTGACCTTTTCAATACAAGATTCACCAATTCAAAAGATCTAACATGAACAATCCTAAGTCTTGAAAAAGAATCAAGAACCCATAACAGAAATAGATTAAAGTTTCAAGATTGAAAATCTGAAAACCTAATCTATCATAACCGTAAATTGACCTACAGGCCAAAAAACCATCTCTTTCGGATTCAAAACCAATCATGTGGTCTATCCATAAAATCGATAACGAATCTAAATTCACAAACTAGATCAGGGGAACAGATACAAACCAATCAATAGATAACCAATCGGAATCAAAAAGCGAGAATCTTTACCTTGTATGATAACAAAAAAGGAGGATAATCTCTGTACGAGCTTGAAGAAGAAACGTTTGTTGCGGCGATGAGATGTGAATAATGAGAGAACCAACGAAGCAAAAATGATGTTTTTGTAGATATTTATATATATAAAGGAAGAGAAGGAGGCTGAGAAACTACAAATGAAGACGCGTGATTGTGGTTGATCCTTTTAGGGCAAACTCATCGTTTCGTGCCCAATTATTTTATTTTGTTTATTTATTGTATTAAATTTTTATATAATTTATTTATTACATAGTTTTTATTTATTTATTTATTACATAGTATAAAAGTAAAAATCAGACAAAAAAGGAAGAAGAGTCTAGAAAGGCGAATTTGCAAGGTCGGTTGGAACCATATTTTTCAATGAAATTAGACTTGATATAAATCGATGAACTTTTCCATTAATAATAGACCTAACCCAAATGGGTTTTAGGCCCATCCAAATTACGTATCCACAGTTCCAAAAAAAGATATTAGGTTTAGAGTTTTGTGCGAAAAAAAACTTTTCAAAAACACCAATTTTTACAATTTTACTTTTTATTTTTTTTAAATTACAAAATTAATGATACGAAGTAAAAAATAATATGCAATATAACTTTTATACGTAAATAGTAAACATTTTAACGGACATATACATTAGATTTTTTAAATTATAAAGCTAAAGTTGAACTCGTCGTCGCGAGAGTTTTGATTTGACATATTGTTCACCAAAATTTTACAAACTTGACGGTAACAAAACTTTTTTAATAGAAAAAACATTAAAATTATTTTGGAATGACTTTTTTCATCTAGTAACTAGACGTATCTTTTGTCATCACGTTTTCTTAAAAAAGTTAAAATATATTAGTTGAAAAACCCAATAAAATTATATTTATACATATACTGTAATTATATAAAAGAAACTAGTTTATAGTGATCAATGTTCATCCCTTTTATTATTGTATTTTACTTTTGACAATGTACTTTTGAATAAGAATTAAATTAAAAACAGATTTTAGAAATTCTTTTTGTATAAAATTACTTTTTCGGGAAAAGAATTAAATAATGTGAAAATTGTGGTAATAAATTGAGCACAGAGTTTCACCAAGAGATATTGCACTCTATACCGTATGACCAAGAAATAGTTAACTTAAATGAGAAGTGACAAAATTGTAAATATTGATGATTTTGTCAGTCGAGAGCTTTTTCGACTTTTCTCTCTCGCCCCCAAACAGTT